CTACAAGACCAGTGGCATGATGTCGTGTAAAAGAGAAACTAAATATCACACGTCAGTAGATACTGCAGCCTGCGTAAAGAACCAAAAGAAAACCAAAAGAAAAGAAAAAAGAAACTAATTGATGCTTCTTTATTTATTAAAATAATTCAAGGCTCTAAATTGAATCTAATTAAATTGTGAAATTTAAGAGCAAAACATTTTAGTTTTTCTCAGTTGCTTTGAGGCATTTCTTGAATAACTTTCAAGATTTGCAAACTCAATCAACGTACTGTTGTGGGTTACAAACCATTTTCTGCTGATGGTTGGAGAGATGGAAACTGACATTAACCCATACTATCACGTACTTTGACAAGTCATCTCCAGTTTGACCTGTCTCTTGTTCAGGAAGGTAGGAGGTCCCTGCAGAGTGTCTAAAAAGGTGACAAGATGTTCTGTATTGTATGTAGGTAAGTCAGCATTGACCTGGGAGCAAATTACCAGGACAAATTTAGAAAAAAATAGCCATAAAAATTTGACACATTATGAGAACTTGTTCAACCATTTTGGGGGAGTGAGTTTATTTAACAGAGACACATAATGTATTTTAACCAACATGACAAAATCAACTGAAAATGTAAGGAACAGTCGTAAATTGTACAGAATCATGTGCATGGATGTACCAAAACATTTACTAACAGCTCAAAGAAAGGATCAGAATTTTTATGTGCACAAGTGACACAATGAGGTGAAGTTTAAACAAGTAGTTTTGAAAAATTTGTTTCTAATTTTGAAAAATGTACCAAAGCAAATAAGAAAAACTGCAAAAACATAAAACGATTCAGCTTTGTCCTGTGGTTAAGATGCATTTAATTGCAGACTGACATCAGCCAATAAAAAAATTGTAATACCAAGACAAAGGGACACTTCACCATGACGCCTAGTTTCATAACTTTATAACTTTATTTATAAAGCTCTTTCAGACAAAGTGCTGAACAGTAGCAAGTAATGTTGTAGTCAAGACCACTTAACCCAAGACCAAGTCGAGACCAAGACCAAGGGAGGGCAAGACCGAGACAAGACCAAGACTAGATTTTAAAAAAGTGCCCTAAATGATGGAGTATTATGTACTCATGTTCAGTGGGGGAAGAAGTATTTTCTCTCTCGTAGTTAAGGTCAAACTGCAGTGCTAGGCACCAGCCCGCTAAAGTGCAAATCCGCTAGTTGCGGACCTAAATATTTTGCTTGCGCTGTAACAGTCTTATTAATTTTTATAATTCATAAGCGGATTTGAGCTTTCTAAAATTAAAATGCAGAACTGCTAATAACTAATTATCTACCAGTCATCATTATCTTGAACAGCGGATGGTATGACTGTCAATGAATCACAACACACGTGATCTGTCCAACACCACCCCTCCCAGATAAACACACTTATTGTGAAGGTATACGTCCTGCTGACTGTTGCTTTGGGTCACAGTTCTGATTTCCCACAATGCTTTGTGTCTGCTTACATAGCAGGAAGGCAATAGCAAAAACAGTTAACGTTTGTAATCCAGACCAAATTTTTGCATGTGTTTATTTATTTTACTTTACAATTGGAGCTCCTTTTTAAAAAAAATAAAGTTAAAACGCTGGAGCTCAATACTTGATGTAACTGGTCAAAGCAATCGGTCAAAGGAGTTAGAAATGATTTAAAGATGTTATGCTGACGAAGGCATCTAGTGGTCAACTGGATCAACTATATAGAAAACTTTAAAATCTAAGCGCTTATTTTGAAGTTTGCAGATAGTTTCCTGTACTCTGTGCTTTTGTTTCCCGTCACAAATCAAATCCGTCATGCACCCAGAATGCATCACTTCAGTTTTACAATAAACAGTTTTAAAATTACTTAATTGATGCTTCTTTAAAGAAAATCTACAACAAACAAAAGAAAAAGACAAAGAAGCAGCCGAACTAGCAATCCTCAACTTTTTAAAGAATCAGCCGAACTAGCAATCCTCAACAACTTTTTRATTTTTRCACCAGGAGCTAAAGGTCTGTTTCAGGAAATCACATCCCCAGCAATCGTCGGTTGTAGAATTAAGTTGTAAAAGAGTTCATACACTGCAAGTTGGCAGTGTTGTGCATATATTGTACATGAATTATTACTAGCTAGTAAGTGTCAAATTCATCTTGCGCTTTAAAATTAGCTTCCGCTAGTTTTTGCTATGGCATAAGCACTTTTGAAGTTGTGGACCTAAATATTTTCATAAGCACTTTAGAAATTGTGGAGCTAATTTTTGGATTAGTGTTGCCCACCACTATCTAACTGTGATGTCAATCACAGGCCTCTGTCATCTTTTTAAGTGGGAGAACTTGAACAATTGGTGCTGACTAAATACTTGTTTTCCACACTAACTAACTTAATATGTAGAGCTAATATTGACAATATCTTTGTGTGAGTGTAGAGGAAAGAAGTTTGCTACAGAGGCAGATTGTTAACGTTGGCGACGATAAAAGTTTGGCGTTGTCCCCACTGGCTCTGAAAGAAAAGCACTGCTGGATTTACAAGTTGCTGTACACTTTCTCCTGGTTGTTGTTGTTTTACAATGATATTATTTATGAATAATGTAGCCAAATTTTTTACTTAAAATTTTGAAGACATCCTTTACTGCTCCCAGAGAACCATGGTTCATTTTCTAGGAGTGCTGCGTGCGAGTGACGGGGGTGCGGATGGATGACAGCCGGTAACAAACGTACATAAATAGCAACAAGTCAGGTTTGGATTTGAACCAGAAGCTACATTTTAATTCCAATGAAAACAAGATTGTTAAAAAATAAATTGGGCAGTATTCTGGCTGTTTAGTGATATTTCCACAGTTGTCTTGACTGGTCTTGAAATAAAATTCAGAGTCCTCAATGTCCGAGACAAGACCGAAACCATCAAAAACTCGTCTTGAGACCGGTCTTAAGACCAAGACCGGTTTCAAGTACTACAACACTAGTAGCAAGAGATAAAAGCACAACAGATCAAATGCAATCAATTAAATAAAACATTAAAGGAGCAATAATATGTTTCTTAGGCATTCATTTAAATATTAAACCATAATAAAGTATCTGTCACCTTTAGTTGTTATTAAAATACTGTTTTTATGTTTAAATAGAAAATAGACTTTTCTTCTCATCACTTCCTCTTCTAAACGCCTTGAAATTGGCCTCTGTCTCTTTAAGAACCTCCTTCCGCTTCTGTCNGCATTTAAAGGGCCAATATTATGTGTTTCTCAGGCATATATTTAAATACTATACCAAAATAAAGTATCTATGTCACCTTTAGCTGTTATTAAAATGCTGTTTTTATGTTTAAATAGAAAATAAACTTATCTTCTCATCACTTCCGCTTCTGAACGCCTTGAAATTGCCCTCTGTCTCTTTAAGAACCTCCTTCCGCTTCTGTCCCACCCCTTTTTGCACGCACGAGGGAGGAGGTGCTATGATGCAGTTTACTTGGCATCTGAAAATATATTTCCTCAAAGGTATTTTTAATCTGAAGAACTTCACTGAGTGAGAAGTAATGTTAGCTCAACAGTTTCAGTTTCACTTTCAATTTCACACAAGAGCCTGCAGGAGTCATGGGCGAGGTGGGGGGGGGCTGCCATGATGCAGTTTACTTGGCATCTGAAAATACGTTTCCTCAAAGGTATTTTTAATCTGAAAAGAGCTTCAGTGAGTGAGAACTAATGTTGAGAGCTCAGCAGACAGTTAGGTTTCACTTTCAATTTCACACAAGAGCCTGCAGGAGTCGTGGGCAGGGTGTGTGTGTGTGTGTGGGGGGGGTGCGCTGCCATGAGGAAACTCGGCTTAAAAACACGTCCCAGGGGGTGTTTCTGGTCCCCACCTGTCGTTTTGCTCCTCAGCATGGCTTCATAAAAACACTGCAGGATTTCTCAAACATGCATGAATGAGTCAGAGCAAGGCTTTGGGCATGTTTTTTTTATCAGAGTATAAAACTCAAAAAAATTGATTTTACATGATATTTCCCCTTTAAAACACATGAGATAAAGTAAACAAGTGAGTCTTTAAGTTTGCTTTAAACACCTCCACAGAACAGGCCTGCCTGATGTACTGAGGGAGACTGTTCCACAGAGAAGGTGCACGAAAGGAGAAGGCACGTTCACCGATAGTTTCAGTTCAGAGTTTGTCCACATGAACTCTGTAACAAATTAAACAAATATAGTTTTTATTTTTTGATCAGGGTTTGTTCACTATTATTTTTGCCTTAAGGTTTTGTTCAAAACAATAAAGCAAAAGATTTTAACTGAGCTAATAATTAAGCGGTGATATTTTTTCTCTCTCTCTCTCTTTCGTCCACACTTGCTCCATGGTGCACTGTAGGTTGTCAGTATAATAAGTTGTTTAAAGGTGTTTTTTCCTGCAGTTTGCAGCTTTCAAAAGCATGGCATGTTGGGACAATGGGAACATGCTAGATGTTAACCACATGTCCGTTCTCAGTGTGATAAGTTTGTAGTTTTTCATTCCAGCCCACAGCTGGCTGCTTAGCCAAAGTAATTAGTGATTTTGTTTTCTTTTTGGCCACAAAAAGCTGGCTTCCACAGTTGGACTGGGAGCAGAGATTGCTCGGTCCGCTTCTCCTTAAAAAAAACAACAACAAGCAAAAACAAACACAAAACAGTCACATGAATATATCTCCAATTACCTGTAGTTTTTTTTAAGATAGATAGATAGATAGATAGATAGATGATCAATTTAGATAAATACATACCAAGTTAGGGTGACTTAGCTTTTTATTTGCTGTCTACTGTGATTTGTCTTCGATTGTGAGGTACCTAAAGGGTGCTGCCCCCTGAGGGTTGACTAGCTCTAATCAATTGAGCAGCTTTAGATGACAAACACAGCCAAACAGTGCAGGGGAATGTGGCTAAACAGACATTACTTTATTTTCTGCTATTGTGGTGGAGCATTCAATTTCCAGTCCCTCTCGTGAGCTACAGCCCTCTTTTGTCTCCTTTCTGTTTTATTGACAGGTGACCTGCAACTGTGTACAAAAGGGGAGGAGAGAAGAACAAATGGATGGAGAGCAGAGAGAAAGTGGAGGAGGAAAAAGCAGGATTGTTCCCTCAAAAACGGAAGTCTCTTTTGCTACAAGCTTTTATTTTCAATAAAAATAAAAAGAGGACACTGTGTGACGAGAGCAACATTGTAACATTACATCTGTATGACTGTAATGAGAATTCTCACTTTTGTCTCTTAAAACAGAAATAATTACTTTTTCAGGATTTTTTCTCTCTAAATCCCTCTGTTATTTAGTTCCACCTTTGCTATGGAGAAGACGTATTCATTAACTGCCCATTACGATGAGTTCCAGGAAGTGAAATATGGCGGTCGCTACAGTAGTGACATCCTCAGCAATGGGATGACCCTCCACCTAGGGGGCAGCCTGGATCGTCATGTGGGTCGAGGAAAGGAAGGGACCTGGTCAAACAGTCGAAACAGAGATCTTAGCAGCAACAGCAGTGGCGGTGGCCTTCCTCGCTGGAACAGGAGGGAGATCTGCCTCCTCTCAGCTCTGGTTTTTGCTGCAGGCGTATGTGTCATCCTGGGAAGCATGTTGGCACTCAAGTACGTTTCTCTAGATTCCCAGCAGGACCTGCAGTGCAGACAGGACTGCCAACACAAACGCTCCCTTCTGCGGGCAGCTCGCTTCGTTCAGGCCAATATTGACCCGACCATCCAGCCCTGCCAGGACTTCTACTCCTTTGCCTGTGGTGGCTGGTTGAGGCGTCACGGAATCCCTGAGGACAAACTCAGCTACGGCATCATCACGGCTATAGGAGAACACAACGAGGAAAAACTGCAACGCCTCCTGCAGGAGCCGATTCGTCGGCACGGGCCCAACTCGGCAGAGCGCAAGGTCAAAGAGTTCTATCGATCCTGTGTCAACATCCAGGAGATTGACAAACTGGGGTCGAACCCCATGACAGAGGTGCTAAACAGCTGTGGAGGGTGGGACCTGGCGGGGGCTCCTCCTGGTGCTGCTGGCTGGGAGAGGGAGGGTGCCCCACTGAGGCCAGACTTTAACGAGCTGCTTTACAGGACACAAGGGGTGTACAGCACGGCTGTCTTCTTCTCACTTACTGTCAATGTGGACGATAAAAACTCCTCCAGGAACGCCATCCGGGTGAGATCAGAAAGCCAAGCGTCTATTTGTAAAAGAAAAATATAGAAGATTATTTATGTCTGCAGATAAAATAAGTGAGTCAGTTTTTTTCATTAGCTTAGTCAGTCAAAGACAAAATATATATTTTCTTTAAGTTCTCTGATCCCAAACAACTATACATATACACAAAGTAAGTTTTGGAACTTACACTAAATCAGCACTACTTACCAGGGCTCCTGCAGATCCTTAAAATGTCTAAAAAGGCATTGAATTCATCAATCCAAAAATAAGGCCTTCATTAGCCTTAAAATGTCATAAATCAATCCTTCATAAGTCTTAAAAATGTGAACACATAATATAAATTGGATGACGTCTCAAATACTAAAATAATTGGTAACATTTATTTTTTTAAATATTCACATGAAAACATTATCCTTTGACATCACTTCCTGTTATTTCACATGCAAATATCTCAACTGTTCATCTGAGCAACGTGAAATTCGTTTTGTAATATGTTAATAATGTTGTCTTTACAAAAATGCATTCATTTTTCTTTCAAAGATTGGATGTCACAGGCACTTTAAGGTTTTATCTACAGTGAGTTGGGGTTAAGACCCCACGGTGGGTCCTAAAACTCCAAATTTTAGGTCGTTAGAGGATTTCCAGAAATTAAATTAAGTTTAAAACTGACTGCTAAGAAGGTTTTTGCTATGTTTGATGAAAAATCATTTACATATGGATGAAAACACTTGATCTATTAGCAATTTTTGAATACTTCAACCAAAAATACTTTGATTCATAAGTTTCTGCCACAGTTTTATTATTTTTTTGTCATTTGTGTTTATTGTGAAATTGGGGTCTTAAATTTAATTTCAGTTGGCATTAAAAAGCATTAAAACATCTTAAGTTTAACTTGCTTTAAACTGTAGGAACCCTGCTTACGCTCTCAGTTATGGTACCCAACCATAAACCTGCATTTTTTTCTTGTTTCAAATCAGATAAATACATATCCAGATAAATATATTAAGCTGTAGTTTTATGATAAAGCAACATTTGGATATTTTTGGCTATATGCTCAAACTGAAATACTCGCGCCTACTTTTATTAAAACAGTAACCACATCAGAACAACTTTTATTTTTCCACCCATGGAAAACCTTAATGCCTCAAAACAAAAATCAAAACATTTTAGGAAGCATGTTTTTCACAAGCCCAACATTTCGTCTGTTAAATAATGAGTGTGCATAATAATTGTTCAAGCCTGCATGCGGGTTATTTAATAAATGTTATAAATTATTCAGATATTAGGCATGCTGTGTCATTAACTGTCTCTGTGTGTGTACATCTGTTGAGTGCTTAGCAACACAAAGGACAAGAGAGCGGAAAAAACTAAATGTAATTACTGTCTGGGCTTTTGTTTCTGCGTGTGCCTGTTTATGTAGATTGATCAGGAAGGGCTGACGCTGCCAGAGAGAAGTCTCTACCTGGGACAGGATGAGGACAGTATGAAGGTGAATAAGCTTCAGTCCTTTCTCGTCATTCCTTAGAACATATCTTCTTTTTTCTTCTAAATTAATTCATTTTTATAATTTCATCTACTAGTTTCTTTCACTTCCTTTTCGGCTATCATGCATTATTATCCCCTCCCTCTGTCCTCCATACCTTCTGCTATTCATCTTTCATTGCTGTCTCGCGGACCGTTTTTGCTTCTTTAGGCCTAAAAATTAAAGGTGCTTGAGTGTCAGTTGCAGTTTTTTTCTGTCATTTGGCTGTAAAAGACCTATGACCTAGCATTACGTTTCCATTCAATTTTAATGCAAATTTTGAAGAAACTTAAAAAATGCTGCATAAAAGAAAACCAAAAAGAAATGTGCATGAGACGTGTTTCCATCTTCTGTGAAAATACGTAAACAGGAAGTAAAGTTGCAAACTCACAGGGATGCACATTTCAGGACAATGGAGAGAAGTTATCAGGAACGTGTTGCTACTATCAGGAACGTTGTAATTATTCTGTCATATCAACTAGTGTTGGTGATGTTACAGGCTGTCTGGAGATGTAGAAAAAGAATAACGTTATGAGAATATCTGAGAAGGCGCAGACAGCGGGAGGACGGTCCAGCTGCAGCTGGTAGAATTGTTGGACAGCGAAAAAAGCTGTTCGCTACACTAGATACTCACTCTGAAAATGTGTTTCCATCTCCACTTTTACGCATCAACTCTTTTTTTGTCAACTAAGCTAGAAAAATAAATGTAAAGGTCAATTAAAATATACAACATGAGGTAAAGGTTCTCTTTTTTTTAAATTAGTTGGTGCATTGTAAGTGTATTTAATTATTTATTTATTTATTGGGACATTTATATATTTATGCTTTTAATTTTAATTATGTCTGATTTGGTCCTCCATAAGGTTGCTGTTCTTCATTAAGACACATTTACTGTTTGTTGACTTCTAAAAATCACATTTTATGTCTATCACTGTCTATTTTGTTTGTTTTATAATACCTTTTAAGTAATAAAATTTAAAATTTAGTTTTTGTTTCTTGAATGTGCTTGCCTTTTTAACATGTTTGAGTACAGTCTGGAGGAAAATGAAGTGATTGGAGAAAATTTACATACACACACACATACATACATACAGTATATATA